TGTCCGTTCTCTTTCATATCCATGGTAAATTTGACCATTTCATCCATTTCGTTTATGAAGGTCAGGAAATTGTCTAATTTTTTTTCATGCTACCAAATTGCGAATTAGTCATCCAAATATCGCACAATTACTTTGGCTGCTGGGGTGGCATTTTGAAATTCTCCTCCAACTGGTCAATGAAGACATTATCCAACAGAGGTGATAGTGGTGAGCCCATAGGCAGACCAAATATTTGCTCATATATGCGGACTTTAAACGTGAAATAGATAGTTCTTATTGTTAGGCTGATTAATCGGATGAGACTCTACGCATTCGCTCCGTCTCCAGGATGTTACGGTCTTTTTCAAGGGTTTCGAGTAGTGCGGTAAATGCCTTTTCTCTTGCGATGTTAGTGTACATGGACTGTACATCAGGGCTTACCAAAAGTTGGTTTCCTTCCAACCTTGCGCCCTTGATTATCTGGCAAAATATGTATGAGGAGACTACGACCAAACAGAAGGCCACACCATCTTGTCCTTTACATCAACTATTTTTGATGTAAAACCCTCGTAACCTGCAAAACAATGTCTTTGGGACCATTTATGTGTTATCTGTATGTCCAACGAGTCTAAATTTCTGGACATATAGTTCTTTTACATGCGGTTGTGCTCTGATGATCTCTTCTGGATTGGTCGGCAATTTTCCATACATGGACATAAACAAATGAGCACAAAGCTTGTGACAAGCTGATTTAGAAAGAGGTGCCGAAAATTCTTGAAAAGACACGACTTAATAAAATGGTAGTTTATATTGATCCATTGTTAAAATGCTCAACTATCTCAAGATACGGGTAATTCGCATCTAAGCGTAAAATTAGGAAACCTAAATGAATTAACAAAACATTTAACGACCTAAATAGGAAGAAAGAGTGTAATAAATTGATTATGGATTAGTTATGACTGTTGGATAGGCTTAGTGAGCGGTATAGCGAAAGTGAGCATGCATCGAGTGACCTATCAAATCACGGGGTGCCTCATTAAGATCGCAGGATTAGGTTTATAAAAATATGACCAGGGTTGCAGCCAATCACCTTTTCTCCTGGTTCAGTATATTTTTACGCTATTTTGTAAGGCATGATTTTTTGCATTGATGGTGTCTGTCCCAAGACAGATGAAAGCTTAGCATGGGTTCATCGGAGTAGCATGACGATGAGCCGAGTACTCTTTCGCACAATACAAAGTCCTCGTCCCAAGGAAATCCTCCCATCATGAACAAAATATTTTTCATTCAATAGCAACAGGTCAATTCTAAATGCTCTTTCGCTATCACTCCTCCAATAGATAGTAGGCCCTTGGTCTATCATATATAGTACCCAAGTGTTTTTATATAAGGAACTAGACAAACATTAAAATTTCCAAATAGCGAAAATAAAAGACTTAAAATATACCCAAAAGATCTTGTAATAATTACGGCCTTGATTCAATTTGCATCAATCAATGCAGATCAGTTAAATAAAGCATAT